ATCCGTTTTCAAATACCTGGCCATATCTACGTAAAAGGTAAGACGTGAAACTAAAAAAATCTTGAATTTTGTGTAAGTAACAACGTAGTTCATAGTCAGATCCCACTGTAAGTCCAGTAAATGTTCTCCTGAGCAAACAAATAGTCTAGGAAGCTTTGGAGTGAACAAATCTACTGGCAAATGGCGTTCGAAGCATTTGCAGCTTATCAATGGCGAACGGCGAAAGGGGAAAAAGGAAATAGGACTGGTGAGAAATGAGGAAAAGCTGGTAGAATGGGAGCGAAAAGGGGAAAAGGATATATAGAGCGGATTGCTCTAACAATATAAAAAATAACTCAACAGTTGGCAGCAGTTGGCAAGCGGATGTGTGGCATGTGTGCGATGCGATACTTTATTGAAAAGTTTTCCCCCACCACACTCGCACTATTTATTTTTCCAACACCCCCCGACACCCCCCTTCCCAGCACCCTTTGGCCAGGCTAAAATTAAAACTTTCCCCATCGAAAAGTGGGCGAAAGAACCGGAAGAACCGGAAGGATTGTGTCGCAAAATAGTTTTCATTTTTCATTTTACACTCTGTTGGATTTTCCACCGTTGAAGAAAGTAAATACACACAAATACCCTTGAAAACGTGGTAAGAAGAAAACAAAATACTTTGGAAGAAATGGCAAACCAAAAAAATTGTACAGCACTAAAAATAGATGACTAAGACAGCTAACAACGCTTTTCCTCCAGGAAAATCTAACGCTATCGCTGAGGAAATTTAATATGGGAATTTCGTTGGCTCTTGAAGGAAACCAACATTACAATCCGACGGAAAATTAACTTCCCAGCGGAAATTCAAAGAAACTGGGGGAAATTAAGTGAGAAAATAAAACGAAACTATGGGTGAATGGGAGATCGACATTAGCAAATGGTTTGCTTGCCGCAAACGCAAAATAATGAAATGTAAACGAGTAAAAACCGCATCTTTTCAAATACGCAATGTTTGAGTCAAGTAAATTGCGCATGATTATTGTGGAGAAACTTAAATAAATGTTAATGCTACCCTGGTTGAAAAGCGCCAGCGCGTTCATAGACCGTTTCGTCCTGCTGAGCGAGATATAATGAGTTTTTTAATAAAAACCGACGCCGTATAGCAGAGTATAATGCCAGGACCTCCTCTCACCCACATCCATCAGCACTCCCCATTCAAAATTCAAATATACGGCGTCACCTTTCATTTGAAAATACGGCAACAAGGGTAACTGCAAAATATGGTAGGACGGTAAGAAGAAGCCGGAGAAAGTGGCACAATAGAAGGGCAAAAAAAAAAAAAAAAAATAATAATAATAATAATAACACCAACAAAAATACGAACGAAAAAAAAGGTTTGCACAACTCAAAGTAATTGAAGCGAGGCTTCTTGAATGGTCGCTTTACAAGCGAATATACAAAAACTGTGCGAAAAAGGTGCGTTTCACGGCTGTAAGACTATCGCAACATGTTAATAATTAAAAAAAAAATCTAAGAATATGCAAGAGTATACTTCAGGTCCAGAAGTAAAACTGTCTCTTTTCGGTGTCACTTGTAGACACCGTGAGCACTACTTTTTTGTCGCGAACTGTACGTAATTCCTTCGAAGTTATCTGTATAGAAATATGCTTATATATATTCTGCGTTATTGCGTAGCTGACCGAGCCAGTTACCTGGGCATTTGTTGACCTTTTTCTGAATTTTAAACGCCATTCGCCCCAGGTGCGAATGTCGTGACTTGAATTCCCGGCTCTTTTCTTGCCGCGCAGCCGAACTTTTTCCCAATTTTTGTTCGTTTCTGGTCATTTATTTTATTTGCTTTCTCATGCGGTTGACCCAACCAAAAAGAAACCGCGCAAGGTCAACAGCCGCTAGGCCAGGAAACCAAAAAATAAGAACGAATACAATGAAAATACTGGCAAAGGTAGGAAATTACTTTGCGAATTGTGGAGAAATTTACATTTTATTTATTGATTAAATGTAACTGAACAAACAATCAGCCAGCTGAATTTATTACAATATCTCCCAGTGACTTTAGTTCAATTCGGAGGCTTAAAAGCTTAATTAAATGCCATTTGGTTGTAAAACATCCGTGGGATGTGTGAGTAGTTTAAATTCAGAATGTGACCCTTAGCCATAAAACGAATTAATTTAAATAGCTCTTTGCACATCGCTTCAGTGTTCATAATGATTAATTAAACGGTGGCGCAGTAATGTGAAAACTATATTTGCATTCAATAATGTAGAGCAATTGGGAATGATAAATATTTATTATAGTTCAATATAATTAAGAAAATATGTTTGCTCCACTTGCAATAAATCAGCACTAAACAGAGTTTTTGAAATGGTTACATGGTATCGATATCTACAAAATAAATACAAAATAATGCCATTCATTAAATGTAAATATAACACTTAATTTATTTATACAATTCACAACAAAAGGGGGCCCATTAGCTAGAGACTAATTAATTGAAATGGCTATTTTTACATGGCTATTTACATGATTTCGACCCAAAATGATTAATAAAACATTGGCGTATAAATGATGCAGTTTCATGTAAAATAGCCATGCATAAAACATGGTCCATCAATTGGAAGTCTATCGCAATACGGGTCATGTAGATGCGGATAAGGACCTTGACTTCCGCTTCCTGCGACCGGAAGTGAGCGAAAAAGGCGAAACGGAATGGCAGACAGGATGGGAGCAGGTCGCCTAAGCTCCGGCCTTCGAGTTTCATGCCTTTGATGTCGCCCAAAATGGTTCAAAATGCATATTAAATGTGTGGACTAAGTGGGCTCTTCATTCGACTGCTTGACAATTAGCTAAAAGGATGGTGAATACCAACTTATATAGCCGTGAGAAGAAATGAAATCAAATCAAATGGCACAGGCTGGCAAATGAACCGGAAAACCGGGAGAAAAAAATATCAAGTATACGTAGTACTATTCTTTGCAACAGTTAAAAAATAGAAACAATTGTGACAGCTGCAAATCATTTTAGATGAAATGTGTCCCTTATTTTTTCTCGGCTCCTTTTTCGCTTTACTCGTAATGTTCCTTTTGAAATAAATTGTCGTTATGCTTCCTTAATTTTCAACTTCAAAGTTTCCATTTCGCATTTTTATATGCACACGTTAAGAGTCAAATGTAAATGGGTATCAACGGGTTGCCTAGCACTGCCGTCGCTAAGGCATTATATTTTTAAAGTTACGAAAATAAGTTACATTTAAAAGTTTACGTTTTTCCCAACGCCGTTATGAAATTTCAAAGGCTCGCATAAAGAAACGCCGTTGAATCGTGTGAGCATGGTATTACTTCGTACTTTCAGTCCCTTGTAATGGGTATTTCAAGGTTCATATGATTGTATACATGCCTTTTCACAAGAAGTTGAGCAAGCAGTTGCAGCTGCCTGGCACTGAATGGATGAACAATAACGTAACAAGACTTGAGCAAGTTGCGTTAAGCAAATTAGAAAGGAAATTCGCTTCCGCACACTCACTTGCACACACACACACACATGCACGCGCTTTTCCTAAGTTTTCCAGCTGAGGATGGGGGGTGGGGGTGGGCGGCGACGGGCGTGGCCGGATAACGGAGGCTGTGGCAAGGATGAAGTTTTGTTTCTTTTTTGGGAGCCGTGTCGGTTGCTTTGGCTATTTCATTCTTGAAGTGCGCACTTCACTCGAGTAATTTGCCACGACACGCGCACTCACACATACACATACGCAGACTTGCATCCCCACACACACACACACGCACACACATGACACATACTAACGCACGCACGCACAGCTGGCAGCCATTTTGACACACACTCGCACATGTGCTGACATTTAGATTGAAAAACGAGCCAAAAAGCAAAGGCAACATATAATCGAAAAATGCTTCGCCAAGGGGAAATGATACAAAGCAATGTTTTCATATACCGCCGCCAGGGGGCGTTACAGGTGTGTATTTGCCCAGTTGCGAACAAGTTAATAGTACTACGGATAAATATAAACAATATTAAGTGCTATTTTTATATATCAGCCTTTCTCTATACAACGTAACAGTTGATAAAAAAATTAATAATATTAATACTTTCTTAATAAATTCTTTGACATACTTCTGGAAGCACTATTTCATTGACCCCCTCTGTACACCTGTGTGTGTGTGTGTGTGTGGCGATGGTGCGTGTGGCAAGTGAAGTGAAGTGAAGCGTATGCTAAATTTTTATTGAAGTGCATACAAACAAACAGGCCCGTCGGCAGCTCGTTCAGCCGCAGGGAAAACTGTTGACACTGGCCCCCTAGACCTTTCCTCCGGCCCCGCCCCCAGCCTCCCTCCTACCTCTTCCACCCTCCCCCTCCCTCTGCCATTGCCGCCCATCCCCCTTGCCCAAGGTCGCAGCTTGTCGCTGGTAATTTTCCTGTGTAACAACAACAAAAGCGGTAGCAGATAAAGAAGAAGTGGCAGCTAAAGTAGATAAAGCCGCGGGAGTCGAAGCCACCTTAAATACAATTTAAACCCATAGCCAGCAACGCACTGAAAGAAAACGTGATCTAAAATATAGTATTAAATATAAAATAAAACACTTAAGAAATATGTACAAGGCTTTTGACAAAGAAATACCAAAAACCTAGTAAACTTTCACAATAAAACACATATAAAAAAGTATGAAATTGAAATTGCTTTACATCACAAACCTCATGACCTTAAGTTTGTCAAAAACATTTAAATATAGGAAAACAATTTTAACTAGCCCAATTTTCGGAGATTCTCGATTAAATAACGTTTTGATTATCAACACCAGACCACCAGGTCGGTAAATGAAAAAGTGAGTAACGCGCTATTGAATGAAAATTGAAATGGACAGCTTGGAAAAGATAAAGAGACTTAACTGATTAGGATGTTGAACGTAATATCATTTTTTAATTAAGTAAGTACTTGTAGATATCAAGTTTCGCAATAAAAACTGGCAACGAATTGTTTTCCAAATCAGTTGAAAGTGTTTTGTCATAGCGAAATAGTTATTAAAAAATACAAAAAAAAAAAACAAAATATGAAATATCCGACAATAATTTTATTCGCGCTCGCCGCATTCGTTTTGCCAACTTTTGCCACAAATGACTACCTTTGGGGCGAAATCGGTGACAACGATTACAAATTGGCCAAGGATACCGTTTCCAAGGCGTTTTTCGTTGGACTTGTGCAGACCAAGAAATACGTATTCAAGCAGTCGGTTAGTAAATATAACAAAACTACTTAAAATTCACATTCATAATCATTTTCAATTCAACAGAACAACCTGAACGCGCTGACCATTACGGCCATTAAGATTACCGACAAAAAGAAGAGCCACGGAGCAACTGCTGTACTGGTCAGCGGAGGTCCTGGATCCAAAGGAGCCACTATTCAGTTCACTTCCGAGCGGGGTTACGGCATCAAGGATACTGTGGAAATATGGGGTCGTTAAATACCCTTAAAAATACCCTTAAATACCCTACATAAATAACGCAACGCAATGAAAAACTAAAGCGCAGTTTGTGTTTCAATTTTTGTTTGGTGCCAGTGACAAGAAAGTGCTTTTATGTGATGTGCTTATTTATTTAGATATATGTTCCTATTTGCTATAAATCGCTGAAAAATTATTGTATTTTTTCTCAGTGCTCACGAGGTTACATTGACTTCGATACGGGGCGCAGAAAGTAAAAACGAGGAAATCAAACACACCAGCAGAGATAACAAGAAAAGCGATTAAGTATATGCTATATCAGTTGGAATACTCTTGAAAGGCAAAAAAGTGCACTTGCAAAAACACAAAATAATTCGTTTTTTGGACACAACTTTAAAAATAATTGTCCGAATGTGGAATGTTATACCTCGTTGCGCTCGTAATTTAATTTCCAATCGAACTGTGTTAAAAAGTGGCAATGCTAATTTTTTGCCATTTTTTTCAAATTTTGATGATGTTACCCCTTACAAAAAATGCGAAAATCGACCGAAAAATGAAGTTCCCAAAATCGGTCAAAAAGTGATAGGGGTCGTTAGCATTGGCAATTAGCTGCTCAAAACAGTTATTCTTTCAGCTTTATGATAATTTTTAGCCAAGTTATGATTAAAATTCCCATAAAAAATATTGTTATTTTTGCATAAGTCGGTTTTTTCGAATTTTGGTCATTAAATAATATGTTTTTTGGACACAACTTCAAAAGTAATTGTCTGAATTTGGAATGTTATACCTCGTTGCGCTCGTAATTTAATTTCCAATCGAACTGTGTTAAAAAGTGGCAATGCTAATTTTTTGCCATTTTTTTCAAATTTTGATGATGTTACCCCTTAAAAAAATGAAAAAATCGATCGAAAAAATAATTTTCTAAAATCGGTCAAAAAGTGTTAGGGGTCGTTAGCATTGGTAATAAGCTGCTCAAAACAGTTATTCTTTTATCTTTATGATCATTTTTAGCCAAGTTATGATTAAAATGCCCATAAAAAATATTGTTATTTTTGCTTAAATCGGTTTTTTCGAATTTTGGTCATTAAATAATATGTTTTTTGGACACAACTTCAAAAATAATTGTCTGAATTTGGAATGTTATACCTCGTTGAGCTCGTAATTAAATTTCCAATCGAACTGTGTTCAAAAATGGGAATGCTAATTTTTTGCCATTTTTTTCAAATTTTGATGATGCTACCCCTTACAAAAAATGCGAAAATCGACCGAAAATTGAAGTTCCCAAAATCGGTCAAAAAGTGATAGGGGTCGTTAGCATTGGTAATTAGCTGCTCAAAACAGTTATTCTTTCAGCTTTATGATCATTTTTAGCCAAGTTATGATTAAAATGCCCATAAAAAATATTGTTATTTTTGCTTAAATCGGTTTTTTCGAATTTTGGTCATTAAATAATATGTTTTTTGGACACAACTTCAAAAATAATTGTCTGAATTTGGAATGTTATACCTCGTTGAGCTCGTAATTAAATTTCCAATCGAACTGTGTTCAAAAATGGGAATGCTAATTTTTTGCCATTTTTTTCAAATTTTGATGATGCTACCCCTTACAAAAAATGCGAAAATCGACCGAAAATTGAAGTTCCCAAAATCGGTCAAAAAGTGTTAGGGGTCGTTAGCATTGGTAATAAGCTGCTCAAAACAGTTATTCTTTTATCTTTATGATCATTTTTAGCCAAGTTATGATTAAAATGCCCATCAAAAATATTAGAATTTTTGCCAAAATCCGTTTTTTTGAATTTTGGTCATAAATAAGAAAATGGGAAAATTCGCACTGAAATTAAAATCCTCAATAAAGTGATATGGGTCGTTAGAATTAGATATTAACTGTTCAAAACAGTTGTTTATAAATTATCCATATTTAGCATAGTAGTGATGAAAACTCGAAAATATCGAATTTGTAAAGTTCCGCCCGCAAATTCGAATTATTTATTGCAGTTAGCCACGTTAGTCAATAAATACTTGGTGTACCTGAAGGGGCTTTTCGTTTGAGGGATGCTGAATGGCGGTGGGTGGCCATCGTTTGGTTCATGGTGGGTGGTATTCCCCCCGCCTCACCACCTGCCACATTCTACCGCCCACTGATGACGACGATGGCAACGACACAAAAGTTCAGTTCAAACACTCAATCATTTTTACACCCGACTATGCACACACACACAGGCGCACACTCGAACACCAGCGAGGATTTGTTGTGTGCAGACACGCATACACACACACTTGAACTTGTTGACAGGACGCATATACACACAGGTGCAGCGTAGCGTATTTGGCTATAAATAAATTTTCAATATTTTCCCTACTCGCCACAGAAAAAAAGGAAACGGAAAATAGGCAATGGGAGGAGTAGACATTTTGAATTTTCTATCACAATTTGTTCAGTTTTTTTTCGTTTTTTTTTGGCTGTCGCACGATAACTGAATTGCAATTGAATTTAATTATTTTTAGCGCAAACACGATGGTGGTATACAAAATATAAAGAAAAAAAAGAAGAAAAGATGTCGGTAGAGCTCACAAAATCCTGTGGGGGGAATTTAAAATGTTGCTGAGCTGCGCAACAAAGCGGAAATTTTGTGTAAGCCGTGTGTATCCCCGAAAAAAATATATAAAATATATATATACACATACACATACACATGTAAAAAAGCAACTCAATCAATGTGCTCCAACGACTCAATTTCAAACTTAGGTGTGTCAACACTTTCGGAAAAAAAGCCAGTCGGGCAATCGCAGTGGAGCGAGCGAGAGGGCAGCTGTTTGCTTTATATATTATTAAATATAAATAATGAAAAATCAATAGAAATTTATTTATACATATTCATCAATATATATACGAATTGCGCCCAGCCGAGGACATGGCAAACAAAATGAACATCCCCTCAGACAAAAACAAAATACAGCAGACGACAAAAAATTGCACTAAATATAACCCGTATATGTTTTTTATTTGAAGTAATTTAGATTATTTGACATTTTAAAATAATAAGACATATTAGTTGAATAATCTACTTATAATCATTCAATTACTAGTTCTCAGATATTTTGCTGCCTAAAGAATAATTGAAAAGTTCTTTGACCATCCTAAGTACGCTCAAACGCTATTTTTGTGGCCGCCATCGTACTTACAGGCCAAAGTTCATGAGACAGGGCAAAGGGGTCAGCAGCCACAGGCGCAGGGGCTTCTGTTCCGAGTGAGGGAATTAACTTTAGGATAAATTTGTCATGTCGAACCAAAAAGGAAAAAAAAATAACAAGGAAAAAATAGAAGGAAAGCCAGAAATGGAGAAAGTGAGGTAAAAACATCGAAGGATAACTCAATTATTTATGATGTATGCATGTGCATGTAGCTGGCTCTAACCGGATTAAAGGGTTTGGCCCAGAGGTGTTACACTCGTGACTTTTGTACTTACACATACTTATTGCCAAAGTTATTTGAGCCGACAATTTCCTGGCCCTAAGCGCTGCAACAAATATTACTCCCCATGTGAGGCATTAAAGATACATTTCATTGTAATTTTTAGAGCTTAATGAGAGCTTAATTAATCCATATCTCTCAGGCTTTCTAACAGCAAATATTTTGTAAGCAAATCATTTAGAAAATATGTTATGTCTAACAAGTTACTACAATTCATAATCCTAATATAAAAATCTAACTCATTTTGATATTCATCAGCAGAATTAAAAATCGCAATATTATTGCCTCCACACCGAGTTGTAATTTAATCAGTTTCCCACTCAATCACTGCAATCCAATCACCTAAATCGATTCGTAATAACTACCAATGCAATCCGGTAGATAACCAATGGTAGAAACAAAGCCAACAAACTTGTGCAAAAATCCCGAACCGATATGCCACAATAATTGAATTCCCAGGGCTCTGGCAGAGATATGTACATATATTTTAAGTTGATTACTCCAGAAGTTCCATTGGGGCGTTTAGAGCTTAAATGCCAGCCGAATAAAGGATATCTCGGCAAATTGCTACAATTTTCACCCTTTGCCTCACTCAAGCGCAACCCCCTTTACTTTCAACACTCAAGTGGCAGTATGATGTAATAAGATGGCTAACTATCCGGCTTCCTGTTTGTTGCCAACATTTTATTTAAGTGAATTGCATGAAATTAGAATTTGATTGCCAATCGCCAGGCATCCCGTTGATGCCTCCTTCGTTTTACCGGCCAATTCTATACGGGCTTCTATGTGCAATTGTGCCTTCACAGTTCGCATCCGCATTTACATCCGCATTCGCATCCGCACTCTAATTGAATAAATATGCAATTCAATTTTCATTGCATTATTCATACCGATTTTTCGGTGGTAGCCGGCATTATTGCAGTCAATTGAATTTGCAAATTGCCAATGATAATTACAGCAAACGGCAACAGCAGCCAAAATGAAAACAAAACGTGGTGGAAAACCTTGGGCGCGGCGGAAAATGGGAAAATTGTCATTTCAATGAATTCAAATTGATTTGGATAGATAAGCTTGCTAAGTAAATAAAGGGAAATTACTGCGAGTCGATTAAAGTATAATAAAAGCTGTGCGGCCAAATGTTTGAGTATTGTATTGAATTACAAACATGAGAAAATAAAAAATGAGCAACGCATTATGCTGGAATTTAATTAACTGCTAATATCCCAATTAGTTTTCCATTCGACTGACTTGCCATACTTAGTTATCTCCACAGCCACGCCCAACGCCCACTACTGAAAATTAATTGGAGTTGCGTGTACTTAACCATGCTATCCATCCTCCAAGTTGTCGCCATCCACACACACACACACACACACACACACACACACACAGTGGACATTTGGCAATCCATTCATATTCCCGCAATTAAAATGCATTATCAACTGTCAAATGTCCGGTGCTCCGAAATGTATGCTACAGAAATGCTCAATTATCCAAGTTAATTGGCATATTGGCATGAGAGTGCTCAGTTATTGTTAGCGTAGCTTTTATGGCTACTATGCAGGGTCGCAGAATAGAATTGGCCCACAAAAATCAATTGGAGTACTTAAA